ACATTTTAGAGAGGGGGATTCCTCTCTTATGGCCCAGCCAGGTCTCAGTAATACATGCCAGATCTGCCCCCTTGACTAATATTAAGTCCCGGACGAGGGGAGCTTTCTGAATCACAGACCTGGCATTTAGCAGCAGCAACCTGAGGCCAGGGCCCTGGCATCTCTTGCCACCTGGTCCTAGGGCTGAGTTTTCAGGACCGGAATGAGGGATCCCTGTGACATAGTGAGCCCTCCTTCCCCGGTAATGGCCCGCCCTGAAACTCCCATTGTGCCTGCCTCTCCCAACTATGACCGGGATGCTCCGGCCCGTCCCCGCAGCCGTAGATCCCCTTCCCCTCCCACGGCCCCCGTTCTCCCCAGCAGGCCATTCATATCATACACTCTGGGACGAGAGGCTGAACCGGGGCCCCCATCCACTTCTGCTTCTGCACTTAGTGGAGGGGGCTCCGGGCCGCACTCTCAATTCCCTCATGCATACCGACCAGACATTCTCCGCACACATACCCCACTAATAATAAAATATTAAAATATACAATGATACAGAATAAAAATGGAAAATTTAAAAATTTAAGTTTAAAAACACGTGGGAACATTCTCTCAACCATCCATACCTACAAACACTCCTTCACTCAGCAACAAGATGAGCGCCATTCTGGAACCGCCAAGCGGTTGAGTGCAGTTTTTAAATAGATAAAGTTCGTAATAATATAAGAGAAGAATGTCTTTACGCTCAGAAGGTTTTCCTCTGCGGGATCCAATAAAGACTTACATGACATAGGATCTGGTTATTTGCAGCACTGCTTCTACCCTGTGGTCTCTGAATGTCACACTAGGTGCAGAGAATGGGCATGCCCCAGATCCCTTCTCTAAAGCAGTATCATCTATGTGCCTTCACTATTACTGCAATCCCACCATGCACTCCGAGAATTGGATAGCCTTGACCCTGTTGCCCCCCCCCATTGCATTTATTCTTTTTAAGTTTTCTTTTGTACTCTGCCTAGAGTACAAAATTGTGAGAGGGATGGCCTTATAATTCTTATAATATTAATTCTAAATTAATAATTCAATATATGTCCATCACATTAATAGCTTTCCTGAAAACTCTCTATAGGCTTCAAAAAGATATATGAATAATATAAGAAGGCACAAAAGCACTACAGACTAAGTTGGATTTGTAATGTTATCTGGAACTTGAGATAAATCTGTTAAATTACTCTCTGTTTTTAACTGCTTTTTGCTCATGAATATAAAACAGAAAGCAAGACAATAACCTTATCTGATGTTACAAGAGTCAGCTACCTATTTATTACGTAAATTGGCTTATTTCTTCTAATATTAAAGAGGCAATTCAGTACCAGAATGTAAAGATAATTTGAATATAGCACTCATTGAGAAACTTGTACCACATGTAGCTATTACCTGCTGTCTTTGAGTTTTCAAATAAGGCTGTGTTGGAACAAATTATTATTTTTTGCTTTTAAAGAAGTAACACATTCTATCATCCTAAGACAGTCTTTCACAACCAATTTTCCTCCAGTTATAATGGACTGCTAAGTTACCTACAACTGTCGTTAGCCAGGGAACAAAAGCTCAAAACTATGAACAGCTGTTAGACTGGGAAAAGTTGTTATAGGGCATGAGACTGTTCCTTCTGGTGTTCTGGTCACTTAAATGGTCCGAGCTTGAGAAGTGTTCCTGTAGTTTTTTAAGGTAGCCATACTACTTGTGATTTTGCTTGATTTCTTATGGACTCATGTAAAATGCACAAATGATCATTCACACTTTTGGGAGAGGGAAAAGTTCTGCGAGGATGGACTCCAGCACGTCAAAAAGCGTGGAAGAATAAACCTCCCGGTGATCAACTCAGATTGGATTCTGCCACAAATTCATATTCATTCTCTCTCTCTCTCTCTCTCTCTCTCTCTCTCTCTCTCTCTCTCTCTCTCNCCGGGCCCCCATCCACTTCTGCTTCTGCACTCAGTGGAGGGGGCTCCGGGCCACACTCTCAATCCCCTCATACATACCGACCAGACATTCTCCACACACATACAATGATACAGAATAAAAATTTAAAAATTTAAGTTTAAAAACACGTGGGAACATTCTATCAACCATCCATACCTACAGTCCCTCCTTCACTCAGCAACAAGATGGGCGCCGTTCTGGAGCCGCCAAGCGGTTGAGCGCAGTTTTTAAATAAATAAAGTTAGTAGTAATGTAAGAGAGGAAAGTCTTTGCGCTCAGAAACTTCTCCTCTGCGGGGTCCAGTAGGAAATACAAAGCTCTAAAATTTGAAGTGGATGGGGGGTTGACGCCGGTCAGAGGGGAGGGGGACAAGCTCCCTACCCACGTCCTCTTCGTCCTCCGCTTTCCCTTTCTGTGAAGATTGTAAACACAGGGTGGCATGCAGAACTCTCGGCAAAGATGGAGGTCTGAGGACTCCATGGCCGAACTGCAGCAGCCGAGATAGCGAGGGGGGAACCCTCATGTCCGCGTTGTTAATTAAGGATCGGATGAGAAAGCAGAGGGAAGTAGGCAAGGGGGGAGGGGTCGTGCCAGAACCCAATTTATGGCGATGGAAAGGCGACAGGCGGTTGATCTCACACGTCCAGTTCTCTCCAAAATGGTGGTCTTAGGGGCGAAGGCAAGAGTGGGAACGGTCGAGCTGAAAGACAGTCACGGGGTAGCGCCGTCTGGAAAAGGCACGTCTGAGAATAATCATGGATGGCAGCAGCAATAACAGCGGAAGCCGGCAAGGCCGGCCACCAAAAGCCAGAATCCCAACAGCCAGACCGTAGTAATGGTGGTCAGAGTCAGAGTCAGAAAGGCCGTGATGGAAGGGGGTGTGCGCTTGGGTTAGCAGCAGCAACGGCAAGAAGGCCAGTTGCACAATCCCATAGCACAGCTCTGTTGGACTCACCAACCCCCCAAGGCGGCAGCAGGGCTCAATGGCATCTCGCCAACGAGAAAGCAGGCCGTAGCGATCAGAGTTCGAGCTGAGAAAGCCGCCAGTTGGAAAATTGCCGTCCGCGGGGAAAAAAGGGGGGGGCGCCATCCGAAGGCCGCACGACACCGCCAGAAACAGTCCAAAGCCGCCAGAGCAATGCCCCTCCAGGAAAAACGCCAACCCTCGAGGCAGAATGCCGCTCCGCAAACGGAAAGCCGACCTGAACTCAAGCCGAAATCGCCATCAGCTGAAGGACCGCCGTTCGCAATACAATCGTATTGTATTATTAAATGTTTACATCAATTCATCTTACCATCAACTCCCCAAAACAATTATTAGCTCTTCTGCTCTCCATACACTGTATTTGTACCTTATCCATCACTTTCTTTTCCCTCTCTCCTCCCCCTCCCTACCTCCTTTCTTCCCTCTGTCATCCTTCTCTTCTCTACTTCCCCTTCCNCATAGCGAGCCCTCCTTCCCCGGTAATGGCCTGCCCTGAAACTCCCGTCGTACCTGCCTCTCCCAACCATGACCGGGATGCTCCGGCCCATCCCCGTCGCCGTAGACCCCCACCTCCCCTCCCATGGCCCTTGTTCTTCCCAGCAGGCCATTCCGATCATACACTCTGGGACGAGAGGAGGGACCGGGCCCCCATCCACTTCTGCTTCTGCACTCAGATTGGCCTATAGTTCTTAATTTGTGTTCCATTTGTACCTTCTTTCAAAATCAGACAGATATATGCTTTTCTCCACGATTCTGGTAGCTTTGCTTCTGTCAAAACATCATTACAGACTTCCAGTAATAACAATTCAATTGGTTCACTTAAATTCTTATAAACTTCCCCTTGTACCCATCCGTCCCCGGGATCTTGTTTGTGTTTTGCCTTTGAATTGCTTCCTTAAGTTCTTCTAATGTTATCTCCCTATTTAATATTTCTCTTTTCTCTTCTGTTAGCAGGGGCATGTTTTCTCCTTTCAGATAATCATTTATTTTCTCTAGTGCAATTCCTTCTTGTTTTAGAGTTCCTGAAAAAAGTCTTGTGCAATATTCTTTTTCTTATCCATATTGCTTTGTAAGTTTCCGTTCTTATCTTGTAGTTGCTGGATTATTCTCTTCCCTCTTTCTTTTTTTAATTTATATGTTAACCATCTCCCTGGTTTGTTCGTGTGTTCAAAGAGGTTTTGTTTTCAAATTTTAGGTTTCTTGCATTTTTCTCCTGATCCAGTATATTCAATTTGTGCTTGGCTAGGGCCTTTTTACTTTTAATTTGCTCATCCCCGGGCTTCTTTTGTAGTTGTGCTTCTAACTGTTTGATCTCCTCCTGTAATGTATTGTAATCTTTCTCTTTCTCCTTATTTTTCTTAGCAGTATAGGCTATTTTAGTCCTCTTATATACGCCTTCATTGTGTCCCATAAGTTTTGTAGCGAGGTATGTTGTTTCTTATTGACCTAAAAGAATAATTCTAATTCTTTTGTAATCCATTTAATATATTCCTTTTGTTTTAAAGTTTGTGGGTTCAATGTCCATCTTCCTCTCTTCTTTTTTTGCCCTTTCCATATTATTACAAGGAGATTATGATCTGCCCAGGTATTTGGCCAAATCTCTACTGCCTCTATTTCTTTGCATAATTCTACATTTATCCAAATCATATCGATCCTTGACCAGGATCTATGAGGGTTAGAGTAGAACGTAAATTTACTTTCTTCTGGGTTAAGGGTTCTCCAAATGTCTATTAAATGCAATTCCTCTGCCATTTCAAAAAAAGGTTTTGGAAGAGTATTCTTTTTTTCCTTATTTTTCTGGTCACTTGCATAATCTTTATATCTACAATTGCATTATAATCACCAATTAAACATATATTCTCTTTTCCTATCTCTATAATCTTTTCATGAACTTTTCTATAGAATTCCTTTTGATTGTTATTAGTTGCATATATAGCTGCTGGCAACAGACTTTTTTGATCTAAAATTATTTCAATTATCAGCACTCTTCCCTTTGTATCTACATATATTGGTTTTACTTTTATCCCTTTCCTGATGTATACCACCACCCCTCTTTTTTCCCTTCCGCCAAAGCTACCTAAATTTTCCCCAATTTATTACATTGTAAATATTTTTTGTCTTGCTTCTTAATGTGTACCTCCTGGAGGCACACAATATCCATTTCCTGTTTTACTAATTTTGTGAATATTTGTTTCCTTTTAACTGGAGAGTTAAGTCCATTAACATTTAGTGAATACACTTTCAGTTCATTTTTCATTCTCTTACTGTTATGCCAGTCGTAGTCTTCTACTAGTCCTTGTATATCTTTGTGTCCTTGTTCTTACTCCTTCTTCTTCTTGGTGTTCTTTCTCTTCCTTACTTATTTCCTCCTGGTCTTTTCATTTCACAATCTGTCAGTCTTCTTCTTGGCTCATCTGTTCTAATTCCTCCTTGCTGCTATGCTCTTCCTCTGATCCAATGAGTTGGTCATAAAATTCTTGCACCTTATCTAAGGTATCTACTTTAATTTTTTTAATCCTGCCAGGATACCAACATTCTTTCCTGAGTTATCCATCAGAATAGTATATTTCAATTATTCAGCAGAGTTTCCAGAAAGCGATTTTGTTCTTTGTTCTCAGACTCTTCTAGGGATTTGTTTCAATGTTATGATTTCTTTATCCTTATATCACATCGGTTCCTCTTTAGTAATTTTGTAGATAATATCTCGAACTTTCTTCCAGGCAAATCGTATGTGGACTTCCTTTGGCAACCTATGACATCTGCGTAATTCGTGTACACTCTATAGACTTCATCCAACTCATTTAAAATCTCTTGTTTATCCCGTTGAAGGGCTTCAGCTATCGATTCTGCCATTACCATTCCCAGGTCTTCTTCCTTAGTCTTTGTTACATTTTGGAACCTTAGGTAAAATGAAGCCCAGTCCATCTCTAAGTGTATCAATGAATCTTCTAAATTCTTATTCAGCCCTATCATTCTCTGGTCTACCAAATCTATTTTTTTTCTGTTTGTTCTGTTCTTGTTTCAATTACTTTTATTCTTTGATCGTTTTTCTAGATCGCTTCCTGTATCGATCCATTCTCTCATCCAGCTTCTGGATATCACTTTTCACTTCTCCCATCTTTGCTTTTATCTCTCCATGATTGTTGGATATGTTTTCTTGGAGCTTCACCATAGTTCCCACATTTTTAAGTGACTAAAAAGTCCAAGTATACTATGTCCACAGCATTTCTCTGTTCTACTAATTTAGCCACTTTTCAAAGAATGAAATAAGATTTGTTTGGAATGTCCCTGATATAACAAATAGGTCCATGATGTTCTGCTCCTTCCTTTTCTATCTCACTTTTTAATCCTAGAATGTTTCTAGAGTAAATTACTTGGTCAATGCATTATCATATGACATGATCTACTGGGGCAAAGTTTTGATCCTTTGGCATCTGGACATTGCTCAGTGAACTACATAATACCAATAGTCACAATCTGTAACTAAGAGTGGTTGGCATATCATTATCCACACACTTTCTGCACAATCATACCAAAGTTGCAACAACTTGCTAGGAAAACATGCGTTCTTTCTTAATAAGCACAAGAGCTTTGAAAGAAAATAATTTTGTACAAACTCATTGCGTACGATAAACTTACAAACATTTCCTAAGGTATAATGTTGACACATCCCATTTATTATACCTGTTTTATGACCAAAAGAAGGCCTGAAGTGCTATTTTTGCAGGGTCTTGTGAGACTCAGATACCCACTCTATGCATTAGAAGACACACTCTGCTGAGTGCTTCCATTTTGGGATTCATTTGCCTTATAACTAGGTAGGGCATAATTTTCAATATTCTCTGGGGGTTTTAAGTTCTCCTTTTCTACAGAGTTTCCAAATGTCAGAGGTTTGCAGACATAACAAAAAAACCTGAAGCATATTATCAATCCTTCGTAAATATTGGAAGAAAAAAGCTTCTTGCATGGATGACAGAACTGGTAGAACACAAGCATAAAAAGGACAGCTATGCAATAGCCAATCAGTAGTTGCAAGAACAGCACCGGAGCACATACATATGTGTAGACATCTGTCTTATATGTGTACCACATTATTAAGAGAAAAGCATTCTCAAAGAATCTCAGCAAATAGTACAAAGCCAGCTTACCCCAGTTTGGGGATTTGTCAATTAAATCAGAATCATTAAGCTTCAGCTGCACCGCTGACCAGCAAAACATATTGATGCCAGCATACAGGAAAGTGAGGAGACATAAGACAATGGTGGTGCCTACTTTTCTCAAGGCCTTTTCTATGTTTTCTGGCAGAGTACACTTGCTTTGCCAGAACTGAATCCAAGGATAAAAGAAAAAACCAAAAAAATTCACCAACACCACAGGCAGGATCCAGATCTGAAGAACTGAACTGAAGAGGACAAGGACTATCACCCTTGTTGCAATCTCAAAGCTTCTCCAGAGGAAAATGCAAAGGTAGGCAGCAGGTTTCACACTGATGTCATAATCGTCATACTTGATCTTAATGGCCAGAATATTGCATCGCAGTGCTCCATACACAATTGACAGGAGGGAAAGGATCATGAAGATACCTTGGAAAAGTAAATATGACAAACAATAGGTTTTTTTAAAAAACAAAACTGTCTGAACAACAGGAATGAGACTATATTTGGAAATTAAAAACCATACAGAACGCTAACATATTTTTAGTGCTCTGTATGGTTTTTTTCTTATGCAAAGCACTTTCCCAGTCCTCTTATACTTATTCCTAGTGCTGGGAAATATTTTTCCAGAAAAGCTATAAAAATAAGCACAAAAACTTACCTGAAATAATACTAGCAACCATACACTATTTCACTGAATGACTGGCTAATGCACTATACATAAGCACAACTTTCTTAATTATCAACATATTTCTTAACTGAACAGAAAGAATATAGTACACTGTTGCTTATAGGCTGCAACTAACAGTGATGAAAAAAGGACGTTTATGACCAATCCTCACTGGTATAGTTCCCAGATCTTTAAAATAAAGAAAAACTGGGTAAGATCATAAGGACAGTGGCAGTTCCATTTAGCAACCATTTTGCTTAACAACTGAGTTGCTGGTCCTAATTATGGTTGTTAAGTAAGAACAACCTGTACTATTATGCTAAGCCAAAACAAAACACACTGCTTTATGACATACCATAATATGTAAACCCAGTTATGATGTACACAAAGGGAGGTTGAAAAGATCAATCAAGCATTTCACATTTTAGCTCTTTAGGGCTTGAGAAAAACATCATACTTACACCTCAGCAATCCTCCAAACCTCTTTACAAACACCCATGCATTTGAGCTTCAGATCTCAAAGTGTGCAAAGCTGTTCTTAATTGTGAAGTCTTCCCCCCCCCCCCGTCAGTCAGCTGTTCTTTGGGCTCCTTAATACAATCATGATTATTATCTACCAGCAGTGGGATTGAGTATGTCTGCAGGGTAAAGTGGCTGCCTATTCCCACTGCCCATTAACGGTTACTTAGGCTCTTTTTGAAGATGGATTTTATACTCCTTTCCAAGAGCCTTGCATAGTGTTTGAAAATAGCCATGTAACAACTGGCTGGTTGGAGGATTATTCATGGGTCCTTCATGGGTACAGCCTTTTTTTTGGGGGGGGGGAGCTGTTATAAAACAGAACATAGAATAACAAAGTTGGAAGGGACCTTGGGGGTCTTCTAGTCCAACCCCCTCCTCGAGCAGAGGACCCATTTTACCATACCATTTTAGACAAATGGCTGTCCACTCTCTTCTACTTCTTCTGTTATATTTATATAGATATTGTTCATACAGTATATCACTATGTTATAAGATTATCCACGAGAGGATAACTCTAAATAATGTGATTTATTTGGCTTCAGTTTAGTGAGTTCTGGGAATACAGACATTATGATTATAAAGAACAGTTTATTGTTTATTGTGTGAAATAAATCTAACCAAATGTTCCCCCCCCCCTCCCCCAGTAAACCATGTTCAAACAAATGGTCACTTGATGCAAATATAGACAATGTATCCCCTATGGGTCATATTACTTGCAAATCTCTTTGATGGAGGTACCTTTGATAGATACAATGTGCTCAGTTGGTAATCTCAGGTTTAAAAAAAATTACTTTGAAAAGAATTTAAAATTGTAGCCTAATCTAATATATGAGATTGCAGCCATTTTGTCAGCCTCTACTTTGCTACTTGCTTTCGGCTGCCATAGAAACGGGGAGGGGGAGCATGGTATTTGGGATGGGAATAATTGGTACAGGAGTGATACTTAAAAAGGGAGTTTTGTTCTCACCATCTTCTGCGCATGATGATGGCTGATGTTTGGAGTTGGTCAAGGCCAATCGTACTGCATACCAACCTGATGATGCTTCTTGGAGATGCACCCACATGACACCTAAGGGATTTGCAGATTGGGCAATGGGATGGGGGTTGTTTGGGGGAGGGGGTTGGGCAAATGTTTGATATTTATGATTTCATGCGTTTCTGCCTCAGACCTTGCTTTACTTTGCTGCTATCTTTTCATAACCAGTAAAAATACTCTTAATTCTACAAATGGAGTTAAGTGGTTTCTTTCTTGGTTGCTGAAGGAGGCACGCCTGACAATAAGCAAGGTCTCAGTTCACACTCATCCCAGAGCTAACACCTTCTGAGGGGCGTGTAATAAAAGCAAAACCTTCAAAGAAATGTCCAACCTGGGCAGCAACCAGGACGACATGGGGGCTTCCGGATCCTCATGTCCCTTGGAGACGGAGCGGATGACGGAACTGAATTTGGAAGAAAGATCCATCTGCCCCAGGTGGTCGTTGGGAGTGGGACAGAAGTATGATCTTGAGGAAATTCCAGCTGGAATTACAACAACCCGATGTCGGTGACCGGCAGCTACCTGGCAGGAAGCTGAAGAAGAGAATCTCATGATGTCCCACGCTATGAAACTCTTCCAGGAGGCTTGGGAGAAACGTCATTTTCCTGAGAGCAGGTCTGGAAGAGAAGCTGATTTCCCTGATCAAGAGAGACCTGCAGAGGACCTGTCTCACTCAGGGGGGATCCTGGGGGCAGACAGTGGAGCTGATCAGGATGGGAGAGCCCCAGCAACAGCAGCAGCAGCAGCAACTGCAAGAGCCCTTCCAAGGGGGGGAGGGCCCCCCGCAGACGCCAGATGGCAAAAGTTCCTCCTCTTGGCGTGAAATTTGGAGGTGACCCAAAGGAGCTAGGATTTTTCCTGGTGCAGGTCTGGAATTTCATGCAACAGTTTGGAGAGGATCTCCCCAATGAGGAAGCCAAGGTAAGAGTTGTTACCATGGTGTTAGAGAACAAAGCGTCAACCTGGATGGTTGTTCTGCATAACAATGACTCCCCCCTTCTGAGGAACTATAATAGGTTTATGGTTGTCTGAGAAAATGCTTTGATGACCCGCTCACCGAGCGAAAGGCCAGAACCAGTGGCTGAATACATCCAAGAGTTTCGTGAACTGTTGGTGTATATGTGGGGTGGGGGAGAGGGTCAGAGGAGGCTTTGATGGGCAGTTTTATGGATGGCTATATACCAGAATGGTGTTAATGGGGGGCCTCAACCTACAAGTCTGGTACAAATTGGCAGCAGATGTGGAGATCAACCTAGCCAGGGATAAACACCAGGAAGTGAGAAAGGTAAAAATCCCCTTCCCCCAGAGGAGCTCCGAGGGGAGGAAAAAGTTGGTCTGCAAGCAAGCCACAGTCTACTGCTTGTTTCCGCTGCAGGAAGGAAGGGCACTGGGCAGTGAACTGCCGCTCAAAAATTGGCCCAAAGCCCCCTGCCGCTGGAGAGAGGAAGCCAGACAAACAACCTGGGAAACGAAAGGACACTGCCATGAAAGGAGTGGATCCTGTTGAAGATTTCCCTCCCATCCAAGGGGAAGAAGAACCCTTCCTTTCTCTTGGGGGAAAGTGAAACCGACTCTGATGACGACCATCTGGTAAGTCCCTGATCGGGCCCCATGACCATTCCAGTAGAACTTAAAGTGCCCTCTACTGGAGCCCAAGCGAAAATGCTGGCCCTTTTAGACTCTGGATGCATGCGTTGCATAATTAGCCCAGAAGTGGTGGAGAAAATGGGCTTAAGACTGAGAACTTTGAAAGTGCCCATTGCCTTTTGCCAGTTGGATAGGTCAGTAGCTTGGGGGGGGGGGGGCTCCTGTCCATTTTGTGACTGAACCAGTAGATATGTGGATGGGGGATCACCAAGAAACCTTAAGTTTCAACATTGCACCTGGGATAGGTCGGCCCTTCATACTAGGACTACTCTGGCTACGGAAATGGAACCCATACATGAACTGGAGGAAAGGGTGGTTGCGCATCCGTTCCGCTAAAACCCCAGAGGGCAAGGGGAGGGTCTCCCACATAGCCAATGCTGAACCTAACCTAGCGGCTGCAGTGCAGGAGAAAATTGAGGGGGAAGAGAAAGTCCCTAAAGAATACTGGGACCTTAAGGACCTTTTCAGTGAAAAAGCTTCTGATAAATTGCCCCCCCACACACACACTTTATTTTAGTATGTAATATTTATTTTAAAAGCATTGACACCTACAACATTGGTAAATATTATGACACCAACTGCCTGAAAATGTTGCTGACAACATATGTCAAGTTAGTCATGCCACCACAATAACCGCTTTTAACCATTTTTCTGAACCTTTCTAAAAAGAGAAAAATAGAAGGTTTAGACATTATTTGTCTATAATTTCCCTTCTCAAAGCATTTACTGAAACATAAATAGAGGAAAAAAACACAGTTGTACATACTTCTAGCTGTTGTGATCTCTTGTTGCAGCACACAGATGTAAAGCTGAAGTGTTAGCTGAGGTGCCGATCCTAGGAAAGCTTGAATCACTGATGCTCGGCTAAATGCAGATCTGTGTGTAAACAGCTTCCCCTCTGCCTGGCCTACTTCTTTCTCAACTTCTTCTGAATGTCCATCTTTTGGCATCTGTCTTTTCTTAGAAATACTGACATAAGGCTCTTCCACTCTACCTGCATGAAAGTAAATATAAAAAACTTCCACGCACCTGGAAGGAACAAACCAGAGAAACCATCACAGCTATCTATTTCTATCCACATATTTTAAAAGTCTAATGGATTGCATGTACATTTATACCCCACTGTCACTACCTAAGATAATCTGTATACACACCAATCAGCTAACTCACATTTAAGATTATTAAAATTATGGATCATATAACAAAGCAAAGTATTTTATATGAACATCCAGAATATTCTAAACACCCCCATGGAAACAGATTATTTAGAGAAAATCTTTCTCTTGATATGTTACTATTTTGTTACATGCTAATATGATCCATATTTAGCATTACTGAATTTACATAGCCCAATGCCAGAGGTGGGATTCAGCTGGTTTGGACCTCTTTGGGTAAACAGGTAGCTCCGACGATCAGGTGAGACTGGTTGAGGCAGTCACCAGGGGTCAACACTGACTCAAAGACAGCCAAAAAGCTTAAACCCATACTACATGTATTTCAATGTACTATGTATGATTTATTTACTAAATAAATAACTCGAAAAATTAGAATATCATGCCAAAGTTCATTTATTTCAGTAATGCAACTTAAAAGGTGAAACTAATATATAAGATTAATTACATGCAAAGCAAGATAGTTCAAGCCGTGATTTGTCATAATTGTGANGAAATTCTGATCAACTGAAAGTGGTTTGTGTTTGACGGCAGTGAGATGAATGTGCAGCTCCTGAAAGTTGTGTCTTCAAGCACCAGAATTAAAAGTTACACCAGCTAAGAAACTTACTTTATCAAAAAAAAAAAAAAAAAATCCCCAGTATACCAAAAAGCTTTAGGGGATACTGATTTAAATACATAATTTCTATGAACCAAGGCAATCAAACTTTGCTGCGAAGAGCATAATTCTTCAAGTCATCTACACAGAGTGTTATTTCAGCACTCCAGATGCTCATGGCTCTTAGTCTTATCAGCCCCACTTACAGTGTAAGCAATTTGAGAAAAGGCATGGAAACAAACTGGAATTCACATTCCAATTCATTTCTAATTTTCCTGGACTTCCTTGCCTTCTTGGTTACCTCTGAGCTGCCAAAGAGAGAGGAATCAGAGTGTGGATTACAATAGTGGGCCAGTGAGCCAAAATAAAATGCTTATTCAAGTAGCAGATACTGTAGTTCAGTGATGGCTAACCTTTTCCGGAGCGAGTGCCCAAAGCATTCCTGAACCCCCAAAATGCAATGCGTGCATGGCCCACGTACATGTGCAATGCGTGTGTGGCCCACGTGCATGCATGCCATCCCTGCATACGCCCCACCCCGCGTGCATGCATGTGCAACCCATGCACATGCCCCAACCCCCCATATGTGCACATGGCCCCCTGCATGCATCCCACCCCCTGCGCATGCATGCACACACCCACATGTGTCCCATCCCCTGCACATGCACAACAAAAACCCAACAACCATCTGGCTGGCAGGAGGTGCGCACACATGCGCAGTAGAACTGAACTAGGGTGCCAGCTTGTGTGCCCACAGAGAGGGCGCTGCATGCCACGTGTGCCATAGGTTCGCCATCACAACTGTAGTTTGTAGATGTTACTAGAAGACTGCATGATATTTTCATATTTGCTAGCTGTTCAATTCATGTGTTTATATTATATTTTGGCAAACTATGTCAGAATCATATCACTACATTGGAATTAAAATATTGTACTAAACAGTGACTTCCAAATAACTAAGCAAGTCAAAATAAGAGGGATTTTTTTTCCTGATTCACAAGACAAATATTTTACCAGTTAATATAATTAGCTTTAAATAATCATTTGAAAACCAAAACTACATTTATAAGGGAAAGTTGAATTAGGACATCAAACACTGTAGAAAATACAGCCCCAAATATTTAGTTTTAAATACCCAATCTCTATTTTCTTGGAAATCAATAGTAGGGCACTTGTAAGAAGTCAAAATTTAATTTAGTGCAACTGTAAACTTAAAACCTTCTCAGTAAAATTCCCAGTCTCAGCAATACAATATAAAAAGGTGTATTACTATTTCTTTGAAAGTTATTTTCCACCATGTCCATACCCCTTGACATATACAACAAAAATAACAACATAAATACAATAAAATCAGATAGGGAGGGGCCTTGTCGTATTGAAATAGTCACTTACAGATGTCGTAGCCTTACTGTACTTTTGTCAGTTCTCTCATATTCTGGAAGGCTGGAAATAATGAAATCATCAGAACAACTAGAAATGAAATGGTGAAAAGGTCAGAAGTAGAATTACCAAACATGATGGACAGCTATAATAATCTTATATTGTATGTTGTAAATGAGATTAACAAATTGAAATCCTCTGTAATTTACAGATATCCAGAAAAACATTTTGAGATGATGGGTCTTAGGCTGTTGGGTGATACTTCTTTCAAAGATCCATTATGAGAAATTTCATAATGAATTTTTCAAAGGAAAATATTACTTACCTATGTGGATACTATAATTCTGACAAACTAGAAATTAAATGGAGCTGAGACACTTCATAGCTGTGTTGAATATTTTGAATTGTATTCAGTGAGAGTGTGAATAACATCCCAGACGGACAAAGACCTAGCATCTGTCCTCTGGATTCCTACTTTTTTGAATATCAGTATCTTCTAAGATTGATCTATTATTCATTTTTCCAAAAGACTGTGGGTTTAGCTGCTTTAAAAAACATTAAAATAAATCTTTTATCATTCTGGATAAGCATGCTTATCCAACATGCCCTAACTAATATTCTTCTCAATTTAATTTTTTTAATCATGCTTATTATTGAGATCTATTTTAATTTAGATATATTTCGGTTACCCTGATCCATTCCAATTTAGAATGGAACAGAAACAGCTTTTAGTAATCCTGATAGATGACAAACAAGGGTAATACCACTGCCTAAAGACACATTTTACCATCTGTAGCTGGTATGACAGCAGCGACAATTTATCTAAAATCCAGTAGTTTGGGCTCAGGGCTCAGAGTAGTTAGACAGATTTAACTACACTAGTTTTACATCAGTTGCAGTTTGAAAGTCAGAGAAACCTTACTTATGGTCACTTAGGCAGATAGGCAAAAGAGACACAGCATCTCTGAGAGGGATATTTGACTCCTTCCTTGTTTGCATTTAGGCAAGCTTTAAGGATTTATTTATTTTTTAGTTTGGATTCAGTTTGTCAAACTGGTGAAAGTAAATTTTAAAGGGAAAGTCTCAAACTCTTTAAAGAAGCATACAACCTTTTCCAAACATTCTTACAAAAGGATGCTACTGAACTCCCAACAAAGCTCCAAGGTCCAAGTAGGACCCCCATCAGGATGTATTGCTTGTCTTGGAATAGATTATAATCTTGGCAGTTGAAAGTTATCTCGCCTGTTGTAATCTCCAATCTAGCTGTCAATCTCCAATCTAGCTGTCAATCTCCAAAAATTGCCTCCACTAACTTTTTTGTAGGCTTTGACCCTTTTGCTACACACACAGTGGTGGTTTGGATGGCTTCAGGTGAACTGGTAGTTGAGACTGGCCTCACCCCGTCCCTGCCATGCCCCCACCCCAGTACTATTTTGTTCTATATCACCATGTTTTCGGAGTTGTGTGCATGCATCAGGGGTGGGTTCCTGCCAGTTCTAACCTCTTCTATAGAAGAGGTTCCACAAATCTACAGTGCCGTTTAGTTCCAGCTCCTGTCTGCACATCATCAAGATGAAGAGCAAGAGGAGGATTTTTGGGAGTTGAAGTCCACAAGTCTTAAAGCTGTCAAGTTTGAACACCCCTGGGGTAAAGCTGTCAAGTTTGAACACCCCTGGGTTTTTTTTTCTAAAGGGTTAGGGGTTCAAGGGTCTTGTAACTTAACACTTTAAGACTTGCACACTTCAATGCCAGAGTTTCTGAGGCAACATTTTGGTTGCTAAGCAGGAGCATTGTTAAGTGAGTTTCACCACATTTTACAAGTTAGCCACTCCCACCCGGTCACATGGCCAGCAAGCCACTCCCAGAAAGCAGGCCACACCTATAGAAGAGGTTCTGAAAAATTTTGAAACCCACCACTGGCATGCATGGATGGCACACATGTGCACTCACATTTCTGGTGCTAGCCGAACCGGTTGTGACATTACGTGACACACCCCTCTGTGCTGTCACCCCTCTTTCCATTCTGTCTTAGGAGTTATTTTTGTATGCTAAGAGGTGGGGTGGGGTGAGGCTTGTCTGCACATCCTTGAAAATGCCAGTTGGTGGCTCAATAATCACAGGCAGTTGCAACAACCTGCTTGGATACTTGTGAGTAAAGTTGTGCGTGAATGTATGAAAGCAGGAGGGAAGTGGGGGTGGGAACTCTGCCTGGCTGCAGTTGCTTTTCTAAAGCACAGACAGCAAATTTCACTCCCTCACAATTGAATAAATAATGTCGAAACATATCTGTTTTCTCACCCTAATATGTCCAAACAACTACTAAAAACTAAAACAATTCAGTGGTAGCTTATTCATCCTATTGTGTGATTTTTATCTTATTATAGACAGTTTTGAAATTTTTGATCAAGTGAGAAGAAGCATTTGGATTAAAGAGATAAATGGGCAGAGCCGAACTGCATCGCCGTCGCATAACATCCATTCTCTAGAAACGTGCCTTTTCTGAAGTAGGCTTCCTGGGTGTAAGTGGCCAATTGAGTTATAATTGTAATCAGAAAAATGTCATTCCCACTGCATTCTGAATGACATTTCATTGCAAAGGTTCCACAAGACCAATTAAACATTTTGCAAATTGTTAGGCTGGAGATAACAAACATTTAGAAAATGCTTTCTGGGGTTCTGGAATTCTCTAATTCTCACCTCAGGAAATGCTGATCAGAGCTAATCCCATATATTGGCAATTACATAATTACTACAATGAACAGGGAATCCGGTTTGGTACCACTGGGACTAATCGGGGGTAAACTGAGGATTGTACTGCCCTATTTTTTATTTGATCACGTAAAAGGAAGGCATGTATCAAAAATGATGGGTAGAGCTTC